GCGGGAGCAGGGTCCTTCTCACCAGGGACTGGGGACCAGGGTGGAGGCAAAAGGGTCAGGCTCATCCAACATCTCAGGCTGCCCCCCAATGACCTTTTGTCCTGGTCCAGCTGTGCCTTTAGAATCATAGAGTATCAGGGTTGGAAGGGACCTCCGGAGGTCATCTAGTCCAACCCCCTGCTCAAAGCAGGATTCCGGGAAAATCCGGACGTATGGTAACCCTAGTAGAACGGCTCTGTCTGTTGCTGGGAGGCGCGTCCCTGCGGAGGCTGCAGGCGTCTCTCCCACACGGTGCGATTCTCTTTGCCCTTGTCACACAGGCAGCGCGAGCAGCAGCGGAGGAGGGGAGGAGCCGACCCGCACAGGTAATGGGCTATTGCTCTGTCACATCCTGATTATCAGAGCCCGGCTCTGTGCCCCCAGCTCTGGGCTCAGGGCATAAAGTCTGGGCCAAACTCACCCCAGGGTGGGTAACTCCTCAGCCTGCAGCAAAGGCACCCCCGATTGGCTGGGCTCTGCCAGTGCAATTCCCCCAGGGCAGAGGGGCAGCACAGCCCCCGGCATCACTTACGTCCCACGTTCATGCTCTCCTGAGGACACAGCTGGTGCCAAGGTCTTGTGCTGCCCCTATACCCAGGGCGGGGTCACCCCCGCAGTGAACTGCCAGCCACACTGGATAGGGGCGATAGGGTCTGGGCTGCTGCGTGTGTCGCTGGCTCTTGTGAAGCCTTTGCACAGAGTCCCAGTGCAGCCTGAGCAAACCTGGGCCATTCCCTGATCCTCCGACCTCTCAGGGCAAAGAGAAGAGCCTCCCCAACAGCCTCCATCACTTAAACCTCCTGTCAGGGGAATGTGCCCCCTGCAGCATGATCCCCCCTTACAGCTACCTCCTCAAACCATCCCCTGATCATCTGAGCTCCCCCGAGCATACGCTGAACATGTAAGCACCCTGATCATTTCCATCATCTGATCTCTGCAAAACATCCCTCAAACACAGCCTCCAGTCCATTCCCCAAACATCTGAAACCCCGCCTATCCCCAACATCTGATCTCCCCCAACCATTAGGTCCCCCATCATCCACCAAATATTTGAGGTTCCCTGACCATCCCCTGAGCATCTGAGCTCCCCCAAACCTCCCCTGTCCAGCTGCTCTGCAAAGCTGACTCCATCCCAGTGGTGAAATGTGCCCAGCCACCATCCCAGCACAAGGCACTTCTGCATCAATTACTCTGCAAAGTTGCTCTGCAAAATTGCTCTGCCTTGTACTCCTAACAGATTTCCCTCGAGTCCCTCTGCTGTTTGGCTTCCTGCAGAGGTGTTAACGTCTGTTCACAAGACTTTCTTTCCCACATGTTTCTTTGTGTGGTTCTCCCACTTGCTTAGTCACACTGATTGTGGCTCCCATCTGCTCAGAGGTCACATCTGGATGCTCTTTCTCAATTCCCTTGTGTTATTCCCCATCCAACTGTGACCTGGTACCCGTCTCTCAGCAGGGACAGCAGAATGAGCAGGGATGCAGAAGGGACCAGGATAGGGGGAAGGGACCTGGTGCCCATCTGTCAGCAGGGACAGCAGAGTCCTCAGGCCCCCATTATGGAGAGAGGGGGCAGTCAGGACAGAAGTGGCTGGAGCTGGGAATAGAGGACAGGACAGGGGGAGACTAAGCAGGTGGGGAAACCAGTGGAGTCCTGTGGTTGCTGTTCTCTGAGGCACAAATTCACCCCTGTGCAGAGGCTCCCACACGAAGCCCAGACCCCATTTATGTCCCCTTAACACCAGATGGTGAATTTTCCCCTGCGGGAGCAGGGTCCTTCTCACCAGGGACTGGGGACCAGGGTGGAGGCAAAAGGGTCAGGCTCATCCAACATCTCAGGCTGCCCCCCAATGACCTTTTGTCCTGGTCCAGCTGTGCCTTTAGAATCATAGAGTATCAGGGTTGGAAGGGACCTCCGGAGGTCATCTAGTCCAACCCCCTGCTCAAAGCAGGATTAATCCCCAGACCGATTTTTGCCCCAGACCCCTAAATTGCCCCCCCAAGGATTGGGCTCACGACTCTAGGTTTAGCAAGCCAATGCTCAAACCACTGAGCTATCCCTTCCCCCCAGGCAGCTGTCTCTAGCCACAAGCCATGAGTTGGGAAGGGAGGTGTTTCCTCCATGCTCTGTTAAGACTCAAATAAGCAAACCGGTTCTCAATCTTGCAGCCCTAAATAGAGACATCATGGCCAGGGTGGGAAAAGGGGATGGCGCGGGGCAGGAAACGGGAAGCGATGACAAATATGACCTGAGGAGTAGACAGAACAGGTCAGAGAGAGGCTGCAGCTTCTCTGCTGCCTGAGCCCTACAGACCCTGGGGACTGGAAGAGGGACTGCCTGGAGTTTCCTACCAAGGGGAGCAGATGGGGGTAGATCGGAGCAGAGAGAGAGACCAGAGTTTCCCTTCTGCTGAATTCAGACAGAGCAAAGGAAGCAGGTGGGATCTGGGAGTGACTGCGGATTGTCCCCTCCTAACCTTGTCAGGAGTAGAAGCCACTGGGCTGTTTCCATCCTGATCAGTTCTCCCCACCAACCTGATGATCCTGTCTCTGTGCCTCCTGCTTCTCAGTGAGTGTCCAGGATCTCTGTTCTAACTTGTAGCAGACTGGGAGGAAACAGCACTGAGAGCAGCCCCTGGCCATAACTGTCCACAAATCCTCTTCATGGGGAGAAATGGAAAGCAGTAGAAGCACTGAGTATGAGAGCTAATGGGACAGATCCTCAGCTGGTGTGAATGGGTGTCACTCCACTGGAGTCAATAGGGGCAGAACCCCAGCTGGTGTAAATCAGTGTAGCTCCACTGGAGTCAATGCCGGTTTACACCAGCTGAGGATCTGGCCCTCTAGAGAGCTGAAGGGAAAGTTGGTCCCAGCTCAGCCAAGGTCTGTGTGTGCGAGGAACCTGCCATGTCCAAGATCTAATGTCTTGCCTGGTTTGCTTCTTCACCAACACACAAATAAAGAATTTTTTCCCGTTTATTAAAGGCAGTTTTTGTCTCTGAAGAGGGATCTCAGAAAAAGGGAGGATTTTATCTCCAGCACTAACCACATGGCACCTTTCTGTTCCCAGCACCTAGTCCCAGCAGCCAGGGGATCTGCTCAGCTCCAGGTGAGTCCATCTGTCTGTCTGTCTGTCCCCTCACACACTCACCGCTCTGTCTATCCATCCTGCCAGAGCAGTTTGTATTGATAGAAAAGGGTTCTAGCTACAGCAGATTATTATTAAGGCCAGTATGTCTAGAACAGGGGTCTCAAATTCAAATGACCATGAGGGCCACATGAGGACTAGTACATTGGCCCGAAGGCCGCATTACTGACACTTCACCCCTGCTGCCCTTGGCCCCGCCCCCACTCCACCCCTTCCACGAGGCCCCGCCACTGCCCTGCCTCTTCCCACCCCTGCCCTGCCCCCATTCCAACCCCTTCCCCGAAATCCCCACCCCAACTCCACCCCCTCCCTGCCCCCAGGGGGTACAGGAGGGGTGTGGGGTGTGGCAGGGGGTCAGGGCAGGGGTGAGCGGTGCAGGAAGGGGCTCAGGGCAGTGGGTGGGGTGTGGGGTGCAGGAGGGGTGAGGGATGCGGCACGGGGTCAGGGCAGGGGATCGGGATGCAGTAGGGGTGCGGCAGGGGGCTCAGGGCAGTGGGTTTGGGTGCAGGAGGGGTGCGGGGTGCGGCACGTGGTTCAGGTCAGGGGGTCAGAGTGCAGGGTGAGGCAGGCGGCTCAGGGAAGGGGGTTGGGGTGCAGGAGGGGTATGGGGTGCGGCAGGGGGCTCAGGACACAGGGTTCGGCTGCAGGAGGGTTTTGGGGGGCGGTCTCTGGCCTGGCACACACCGGGGGCAGGGCAGGCTCCCTGACTGCCTGTCTGCCCTGCCCCGCCCCTGCGCCGGGATGTGTGTATTGCTGTTGCTTCAGGCACAGCCCCCAGCATCTCCCATTGTCAGAGAACGGGGAACCGCAGCCAATGGGAGCTGCTAGGCGTGGTGCCTGAAGCAACATCAACACACACACCAATGTGCCCCCCCTTCCCCACGTTCCGGCCGCTTCCCAGAGCAGTGTGGGGGCAGGGACGGCAGGCAGGGAGCCTGCCCTGTCCCTGGTGCGTGACGGGCCGGAGCCGCTCTAGGTAAACGCTGGGGGAGGACGGGTGGGCTGCGACAAGCTCACGGGCCGCAGAAAATAACCTCACAGGCCACTTGTGGTCCGCGGGCCGCGTGTTTGAGACCCATGGTCTAGAATGTAATTAATGCTTGTGACTGGCTAGTGCTGTGCAAACAACCCCATAGCCCGAGCCGTGCCAGCCTGAGTCTGCTTCCACAGCAACCAACTTCTTTTTTCAGACTGTTCCCTGGCTCCACTTAAAATAGGCATCCCATTAACAGCTCTGATCCATTCCCCTTCCCAGGTGCTCTCCCTGCCCCTGCCCTCTACCTGAGCCAGACATCCACCTCGCCGGGGAACTCCGTGCTGCTGCAGTGCTCTGTGATCTCTCAGGCCCCAGCCACTCACATCATCTTCTGTAAAGATGGGGAGGAGGTTTCGTCCCAGATGGGCTCGGAGGAGAAGGTCACCTACAGCTGGGACCATGCAGTATCCAGGGGTAGCTCCGGGAATTACTCCTGTGGGTACGAGATCAAGGACACTGACAACCGGGTGACCAGATCCCAGCTCAGTCCTGCCCAGCGCCTCAGCATCACTGGTAAGGGGGGTACACGGCAGAGCGAGTGCAATCGGTCATGCAGTGGCAGAGAGATTGTCCAGAGATAGATAGCTGAGCGACAGGGGTGGACCGGCAAAAGTAGGTTGTTATCCTCCATGTGCACCAGCCCCTCGATGGAGACATGACACCCGCTTTGTTGGTGGGTCACTCAACTGTTCGTGGGAGAACAGTGGGGTGTTGGTTCCCAGTCCTTCTGAGTTCTCTTCCTGATTCCAGGAGCAGACTCTGGTTCGTATTAGAGGCAACATAGCCAAGAACATAAATCTGGCACCTCGCCTATGAAAGGCAGAAAGATAAACTGGATGGGACTGGGGTTTGCCATATTAGATATATTTGCTCTATTTCCAGTTCTGCCCTCAAGTGACCTTGTGCCACTAAGTTGATCTGTACAAGGGGTGAATGACAGTGTCACCTACACCATAGGGGCATGAGCTCTTGGCTAGTACCTGGGGCTGTGAGGTGCACAGAGAAGTTATTAACACTCAGTGGAAGAGCTGGGCCTAGAGCTGAATGCCACCCCAGGGCTCCATGTGGGGAGTGCATGGCCACACACACAACTAATACAAAGAATCAGAGCGCTGCCAAATCATAGAACATCAGGGTTGGAAGGGACCTCAGGAGATCATCTAGTCCAACCCCCTGCTCAAAGCAGGGCCAATCCCCAGACAGATTTTTATCCCAGTTCCCTAAGTGGCCCCCTCAGGGATTGAACTCACAACCCTGGATTTAGCAGGCCAATGCTCAAACCACTGAGCTGTCCCTCCCCCAAATGCCCATAATGTGTGTGAAACTTGGTGGGTTGCACATTCGGATCCCTGACAGTGCTCCACAGAAAAGAGCGTCTGATTGGGGGTCAGGGAAATCCTGGATCAGGCGTTCCTGGGCATTTTCATCCCCATGGAGCTTCGACCTCAGTGACAGATGCAAGGGATCAATGACATGACGGTTTGTTAAATGGACAATGACGTCCTCGCTGAGTCTGTAGAAGGGAAACTCACTGTGAAACTCAGAGCAAGAGAGAATGTCCAGGGACTGGCTCCTCGGCTGGTGTAAACTCGCACAGCCCTGTGGAATAATAACACAAGAACTAGGGGTCACCAAATGAAATTAATAGGCAGTAAGTTTAAAACAAACAAAAGGAAGTATTTCTTCACACAACCTGTGAAACAGTCAACCTGTGGAACTCTTTGCCAGAGGATGCTAGGAAGATCAAGCCACTAACAGGGTTCAAAAAAGAATTACATAAGTTCATGGAGGATACGTCCTTCAATTGCTATTAGCCAGGATGGGCAGGGAGGGTATCCCTAGCCTTTTTTTGCCAGAAGCTGTTAATGGAGAACAGGGGATGGATCACTCAATGCCCTGGGCTGTTCATTCCCTCTGGGGCACCTGGCAATGTCGGAAGACAGGATACGGGGCTAGATGGCCAGAAGCTGGGAATGGGCAACAGGGGACGGATCACTCATTGAATTGCCCTGGTCTGTTCACTCCCTCTGAAGCACCTGGCATTGGCGACTGTGGGAAGACAGGATACTGGACTAGATGGACCATTGGTCTGACCCAGTATGGCTGTTCTTATGTTCTTATGACTCCAATGGAGGGGATCTGGTCTATTGACTCTAGCAGAGTGATTCTGATTTACACCCATTGGGGATCTGGCTCCAGTGGCTGGCAAAACCGCTCTGTCTGTCACTGGGAGGCGCGTCCCTGCGGAGGCTGCAGGCGTCTCTCCCACACAGTGCGATTCTCTTGGCCCTTGTCACACAGGCAGCGTGAGCAGCAGCGGAGGAGGGGAGGAGCCGACCCACACAGGTAATGGGCTATTGCTCTGTCACACCCTGATTATCAGAGCCCAGCTCTGTGCCCCCAGCTCTGGCCTCAGGGCATAAAGTCTGAGCCAAACTGACCCCGGGGTGGAAAACTCCTCGGCCTGCAGCACAGTCACCCCGGATGGGATGGGCTCTGCCGAAGCAATTTTCCCAGGGCAGGGGCACAGCACAGCCCCCGGTGTCGCTTACGTCCCACTTCCACCCTCTCCTGAGCGAACAGCTGGTACCAAGGCCTTATGCTGCCCCTGTGCCCAGGGTGGGGTTGCCCCATGGTGAACTGCCAGCCACACTGGAGAGGGGCGATAGGGTCTGGGCTGCTGGGTCTGTCGCTGGCTCTTGTGAGGCCTTTGCAAAGAGTCCCGGTGCAGCCTGAGCAAACCTGAGCCATTCCCTTCTCCTCCGCCCCCTCAGGGCTGTGCTGGGCAAAGGCAGGAGCCTCCCCAACAGCTTCCATCACAGGCCTCCCGTCGGGGGAACGTGTTCCCCTGCTCCCTCTTACATCTAGTTCCCCTGACTAGCCCCATATCATCTGAGCTACCCAACCATCCCTCAAACATCTGATCCCCTCTAACAATCCCCTGTCCAGCTGCTCTGCAGAGCTGACTCCATCCCAGTGGTGAAGTGTGCCCAGCCACCATCCCAGAACAATCCACTTCTGCATCCATTTCTCTGCAAAGTTGCTCTGCAAAACTGCTCTGCCTTGTGCTCCTGACAGGTTTCACTTGAGGACCTCTGCTGTTTGGCTTCCCACAGAGGTGTTAACGTCCATTCACAAGATATTTTTTCTTTCCCACGATTCTTTGATTTTTTGCCTGGTTCCCCCACTTGCTTAGTCACACTGATTCTGGCTCCCACCTGCTCAAAGGTCACTTCTGGATGCTCTTTCTCAACTCCCTTGTGTTCTTCCTCATCCGGCCGCGGCCCGGTACCCTTCTCTCAGGAGGGACAGCAGACTCCTCAGGAACCCAGAATGGGGAGCGGGGGCAGTCAGGGCAGGACGAGCAGAAGTGGCTGGAGCTGAGTGTGGAGGACGAGGCAGTGATGACTAAGCAGGTGGGCAAGGCAGGGGCAGTCCCATAGTTGGTGTTCTCTGAGGCTGAAATTCACCCTGCATGGAAGGTCCTGCACAGGGCCCACCCCCCATTTATTTCTGACTTAAATCCAGAGGGTGAATTTCCCCCGGGGGAGCTGGATCCTTCTCACTAGGGACTGGAGACCAGAGTGGAGGCAAAAAGTTCAGGCTCATCCAACATCCCAGGCCCCCCAGTCACCCAGTGACCTTTCACCCTGACCCAGCTGTGCCTTTAGCCAGGGGGCTGTCTGGGTCCCCAGGCAGTGAGATGGGATGGGGGGTGTTTCCTCAGTGATATGTTTAGACTCAAACAAGCAAACCAGGCCCCTTTGGTTCTCAATCTTGCAGCCTTAAGTAGAGACGCTGTGGACAGGGCGGGAAAAAGGGATGGCGCGGGGCAGGAAATCAGGAATGGTGATGATCAGACCTGAGGACGAGACAGAGCAGGTCAGAGAGAGGCCTACAGATCCCAGGGGGCCTGGGAGCAGGGGCAGGGGCTGGCAGCCACGGCGGCGGGTGACCCACTGGCTTGGGGAGGCTAGCCCCTTGCCGGCCCCGCCCCTCCTGCCTCAGGCCCCGCCCCAATCCCAGCATGCAACGCTTCCCTGAAGAGGAGTATCCAGCCTGCCTGGGGCAGAGGGGGAAGGGCAAGCAGGAGCGGGACTTCCGGGCGGAGCATGGGCGGGGCCATGCTGGACTGTTTGGGGAGGCAGAGCCTCCCCCAGCCTACAGAACGAGCCGCCCATGGCTGGGTGGACCATCCAACCCTGGGGAGCAGACAGAGGCAGATCCGAGTAGAGAGAGAGACCGGAGCTTCCCTTCTGCTGAAGTCAGACAGGGCAGAGGGGGCTGGTGAGAGCAAGAGTGACTGCGGATTGTCACCTGCTGACCCCATAAAGAGCAAAAGTAGATGCTGAGCTGCTTCCATACCTTGTGGATCCCCCGCAGCCCCGATGATCTTGTCTCTGTGCCTCTCGCTTCCTGGTGAGTATCCGGGAACCCTGTGCTAATTCGTAGCAGGTTGGGAGGAAACAGAACCCAGAGCAGCCCCTGGCCTGAATGTCGACAAATCCTCTTAAGTGGGAGAGGAATGGGAACTGGTGTAAACACTGCGTATGAGAGTTACTGGGCCAGATCCCCAGTTGGTGTAAATCAGTGTTGCTCCAGTGGAGCAATGCCAGTTTACGACAGCTGAGGATCTGGCCCTCTAGGTCAGCACATCTCAACCAGGGGTCCAGGGCCCCTGGGGGGCGGTGAGCAGGTTTCAGGGGAGGCCACCAAGCAGGGCCAGCATTAGACTCACTGGGGCCCAGGGTAGAAACCCAGGGCCCTGAGCCCCGCCAGACAGAGATGAAATCAAAGCCTGAGCAATGTAGCTTCGTGGGGGCCCCTGTAGCTTGGGGGCCCCCGGCAATAGCCCTGCTTTCTACCCCCTAACACTGGCTCTGGCTTTTATATGGAGAAAACCAGTTATTGTGGCACAGGTGGGCCATGGAGTTTTTATAGCATGTGAGGGGGGCCTCAGAGAGAACCCCTGCTCTAGAGAGCTGAAGGGAAAGGCGGTTCCCAGCTCAGCTAAGGTCCGTGTGCACGAGGAACCTGCCATGCCCCAGATCTAACGTCCTGCCTGGTTTGCTTCTTCACCAAAACACAAATCAGGAATTTATTTCCCTGTCTGTTAAAGGCAGCTTTTGTCCCTGAAGAGGGACCTCAGACAAGCGGGGGATGTTATCTCCAGCACTAACTACATGGCACCTTTCTGTTCCCAGCGCCGAGTCCCAGCAGCCAGGAGATCTGCTCAGCACCTGGTGAGTCCGTCTGTCTATCCGTCCCCAGACACACTGATGCCAGAGGGGTTTGTATTGATAGAAAAGGCTTCCAGCTACAGAAGATCATTATTATTATTATTTATTATTACTGTCGCCCCAGATGCCCCCTCAAGGATCAGGGCCCCATGGGGCCAGGTGCTGCACCCTCCATGTGAAGTGCTGGTCCCTGCCCCCGAAGAGCTGACAGTCTCAGATCTGACATTATCCCTCTGGTACCAAGCTGTGCTGATATAAGAGCCTGCTCCAGACACATTGCGTAGACCCTGCAGCAGGCAGAGTGCATCTATACTGCTGTTAGACGCCCACAGCTGGCTTGTGCTGTGCAAACAGCCCCATAGTCCAAGCCCTGCCATCCTGAGTCAGCTGGCATGGGTCAGCCATGGGGATTTGGTTGCAGTGTAGACATACTCTGAGCAGCTGCGAGCTGGTTCCACAGTAACCAACTTCCTTTGGCAAACTGCTTCCTGGATCCCCCTGTAAACGGGCACCACCAACAGCCCCACTGACAGCTCTGACCCATTC